AAAAAAAGAAGTGAAGAATGGGCTCATCTGTCAAAAAACAACTAACGTACAAACCATTAAACTCCTATTAGGTCTTTCTAATACTAGAGGGCAGTGTTCACCTGCTGCATACAGAGTAACTGCTCAGAATGTTTCTGTGCACCCGAGAAACAGAAATGTCTCAATAGATGCTTCATAACCAGCGGCGTTTGGTGAATGTGATAAATAGATATGAACATATGTTTATAGACTCAGAAGCATAACTTCTGCAAAGATGTATGGCACTCAACTAGAAAAATATTTAACATTGTTTGCTGTAACTATTTTTTTATGACTGTTGGGTCCATGGGGGTCGTGCAAAGATGGAGAAAAATCACCAAAGTCTAATAAATCAAAAGCAAACTTTATTCCAGGAAAAAAATTAAAAATTTAAAAAGGAAATCTCCATGGGACACAAGAAGCTTATCAGCTAGCTGAGACCACAGCCAGAGATGGACTTGTAAGGTTTTTTGCAAAGGTCTTTTGCAAAGGCCGGTTTTTGAACTCCTCCTTTTATAGCAAGCATTAGGCAATAACAAAAGAATTTTTGCAATCTGAAGCTAAAACTCAGATACAAATTGATCTTCTTTGCAATCTTTTGTTAAGAAGTTGTTTGTTGTTGTTGTTGTAAAACTAGTGTTTAAACCATTGTTTTTCTCTGGTTCTTGCTGATGGTGCTTATGGGTCATCATAAAACCAAAAGGTCAAAAGTCACGTATATCCCATCATATAAAAGTTAACTCAGCTCACATCAATTGCTGGTCATGAGTGGCCGGGGGGGGGGGTTGTCTTAAGGATAACTATCAGTTTGCAGAGCTGACCCTTAGTTTGTAGAGGGATGCTTCAGTCTTGTAAACAGAGCAGCCAGTTGTAGAGCAAAGTAACCCACTGTTAATAGTTAATCCTTAAACTACTGAGAAAGTTACCAGCAGCCTGCTCTTATTCTCCTAGGCTTACAACTTTATATTTATTTATTTTTACTCATTTTTTGCATCTACATTTTTTTATTCTTATTTTTGGACTCTTCAATGACAATAATTCTTTATTGTTAGACATTTGATTCTCATACATTGCTTGCCTTGATTTTTGTTAAACTGGTCCTGTGATGAATTAGACATTTTTTGACTTCTGAAAAAGTATTTTGCAACAACCCTCCCTCATTTACAAGGAAACAACTTTAGATACAACGAACTAATGAGGTTTCATCTGGGTTATTAATATTTTCTCAATTATTTTCTCAAGTTTAGACAGAGGGCCAGAAAAATCAGTAGACCTTAAGGCAACTGTGGCTTGATTTGATACAGTGTCTGAATAAATCACTTTATCTTTTCAATTTTATTTTATAAAGAAAAAGCAAAAACAGAAAAAATATGTAATGGAGAATGTATTCATATCCAGAGTATTTATTATTAGAAAGGCTGCCTTTAGGAAAAGCAACAAAATATACATTCATTTTTAAATGGTTTACTAATTTCCACCATGTAACCATTCCTGCCTTGACAGATTCAGCCTATCAATGTGACTGTATTGAGCATTAAGAATGAAAAAATGCACAGAGCTGTTAAATGCTATTTATATCACACAGAACAAAGATGTAAATAATATTGAGGGCATAGACAGTAAAATATTGCAATACAATTAGAAAAAAATGAGATTTGCATTTAGGCTATATTATATTTTTTAATATAATATTTTATTTACTGGTGTGTTAGTATAACTAACTTTTAATAATAGCTAGGTTAACCAATTGCAAACTTCTCAAAAATTTAATTTGGCCTTTGCAAATCTGTATGGGTCCAGTTGAGCACACCATCATACAATGTGTTTTTATATATACTTTCTGGTATATATAATGCCAATATGTTTAAAAACTATTATTGTCCTTCATGCTAGAACAAGTGTATCTGACCCAGGAAGTAATTTCACAGTATTTTCCTTTATCTTTGCAGTATGTTGGCAAGTTAGACATAATAGACCTTGTATGCCTTACTGACCAAAATTCAACTGAGAAGAGCTGTGCCAAATTCACTCTTGTTCTGCCTACAGAGGAAGTGCAACTGAAGGTGAGTGGGAACAGCAGTCCGCAGACAGTCAAGCTTATAGGTAGCCTTGTCCTTTTACTATCCAGAGGTTGGGATTACAAGGGGGCCGAGTCTTAATACTTCACTAACATTTCCTGTCCTTTGCCAAGGACGACAGTGTTCTGAGTTACATTTTAGAAGGGCACATTGACTTGTTTAGTATACAAGCACAATGAAACCTTAGACTTCTGTCCTCTGACAAAGTGAAGGATCCCACCTGGTGTTTTTCAAGGTTGTCCCTGAATTAGCCTGGTGAGCTAATTGCCCAACAGTGAGAGTCATAACAAAGAGAACAGCTTGGCATAGGTAAAGATGATGTTGCAGAGGCTCCTGGGAAGCTGCTGGTTGACTCAGAGCTGTGAGGGTTAGAATGAACCAGCATTTAAGCAAGCTCCCTGGAGAACTCTTGGACGTGGAGTGAAGAGTCAGAGGAAACAGACGCTGAGGTAGACAGTTGCTACTTTATGCAATGTCTGTGAAACAGGCCAGCTACTTAACCTCTTCACTCATTTGTTTCCTGAATTATCAGTAAGTCTCTGCTCAAATGTGAGGCTCTCACTGTGGTCCGCCTGGAACACTTTTATCCACATTGTAACCTTGTTACGCAGCTGTTGTTGGGGTCTGAATGAGGATGACTCAATGGGCTCCTAAGGTTGAATGCCTGGTCCCCAGTTGGTGAACTATTTGAGAAGGATTAGGAGTTGTGGCCTTGCTGGAGGAGGTGTGCCATGGAGAGTGGGTTTCATAGTTTCAAAAGCCCACACCAGGGCTAGGCCAAGGATCCCACCCCCAGCCTACTGCCTGGGGATCAGGCTATAAAGCTACCAGCTACTGTTCCAGTCCCGTGCCCGTCTGATTCCAGTAATGAAGATCATGGACTAACTCTGTAACCTGTAAGCAAGCCTGCAGTCAAATGCTTTGTCTTGTATGAGGGTTGTCTTACAACCATGATGTCTCTTCACAGCAACAGGACAGTGACTAAGACACCTGCCCTCTTGTCACATTATCGGTTTGCCTTACTCTGCTCTAGACTTTATATTTCCTAGTTGTTTCCTTCCAACAATATTAAATGCACTATTACATTGATTGTTTAATCTTCCTTGTCGTATTCGTTTCTGGGTTGGGACATTTTCTCTGTGTAACAGCCCTGACTGACCTCCGGCCTATGTCTCCAGAGTCCTGAGATTAAAGGTGTGCACCTCTATCGCACAGTACTTGCTATATTTCAAATTCCACGAGAACAAGGATCTTTGTTTTGTTCCCAATGCCTGTACTTAGCAATACACAATATTTATCTTTTAATTGAACGGATACATAAAACAACATTAAAAACACCTTTTGCTGAATTACCTTGAAGATTGTCAAAGAACAAAATTACACCTTTATATAAAGACCTTAATTAGTTTTATAGTCTACTCAAGAAACAGATGTTTTTTATTCTATAGAATAAAATATTATAGTCAGCTGAAAAGAAAAAAAAATAAATTTATAGACAGGAAAAGCTAAAACAACTTTATAACCAGTAATAAAGTAAGTTGTTCATCTCAAATGTTTCTATGTAGGCAGAAATAGGACGGCAAATGGTACAAAAATGACCGATTGTCATTAGATATCTGCAGGTCACTCTTTTGCATACAGAGGGAACAAAGTGAAATTGGTCTGTATGGGAGATGTGGCTGTTATGTTCCTTTCCCGATTTCCCGAGAAGGCCAGGCAACAGTTTTGCTTTAGTGATGTGGAACATTAGCACAGAAGACTCCATTTTCATTCTAGTGCGGACTATGCAGCACCTCAGTGCGAAAACCCAGAAACAACAGCCACCTATAATATTTCTTTGGCATGGTTATGCTGGCAGTGCCTGTGAAGTGCTTAGTACAGTAGCTAGCATTGGAAGTGCTCAAAAGTCATTGGCTGCTATTATTATTATTATTATTATTATTATTAGTCAAGGCAGCCTTTGAAGTTAAGAATTGGACCCTTTCACATTTGTTCCCCCAAATTTCAAGCAAGACAATGGAGAGAGTAGGCCGTAAGTAGCATACAGTAGAGATAAATTTACTAACATTTCATTTTTCAGTTAGGCATAAATTTGTACAATTGTACTTGCTTAGTAAGTAAATAATTTAAAAGTATATGCTTCAGTTTGTTCTAAGAAACTGTCTATGTGTGCAAATGATTTTTATGTGTTAATGCATGTACATGATGCACAGTGAGTGTGATGCACAGTGAGTGTGTGGAGGGTAAAGGACAATTGTGGGTCCTCATCTTCTACCTTCTTTGTGACAGGGTCACTTAGTTGTTTAGTGTTGACAATGCCCGGTTAGCTGGAAGAAACTTCTAAAGATTCTCCTGTTTCTTCCCCGTATCTTGTCATAGGTACACTTGGATTATGTGTCTCACTGTGCCCATCTTTATGTGCTTCTGGGGATTTGAATTCAGGCCTTAACACTTGTGTAGCAAGTACTTTACTCATTGAACCATCCTACCTCCATCATTTATATCTCTGTTTATCTATTAGAATGGGCTGAAATAAATAAGAATAATATGTTATTTCTCTTTGCAGCCAATTTTACACAATTTGAGCCTTTTTTATTTTTGCTGTTTTAACTTTTGTGTTATTTTACAAAGTGCCTGAAGAGAAGAATATGCGTTTTTTGCCAGTCTTGCTAGTTTTTTCTTTTTTGGCATGTATATGTGCATGTGTGCACAGCTACTTGGATGTGCATGGATATATGTGTGTAGGTGCACATGCACATGCGTGTTTATGTATGGGGTGGCCGGAAGTTAGCAGCATGCACTTTTCTCATTCGCTTCCATCTTATCCACTGAGGCAGCACCTCTCACAAGGACCCATGGGCTTCTCGATTTGGTTAATCCAGCTAGCCAGCTTGCTCTAGAGATCCTCCGTATTCCCCTCCCAGGTGCAGGGATTACAGCTGAGCTGCAGTACCTGCTTGTCATTTTCCTCAGGTTCCAGAGGTCCGAACTCTTGTATGACAAATGCTTCACCCAAGGAGCCATCTCCTTAGCCTGCAATCTTGTAAGCATGTGATGGCACACCTCTCTCGTCATATAACCATCATGTGAAATTCTCGTTCCTCTTAAAGTTAGCACAGATCGTTCATTAACTATACATTTTCTCCTTTTCCTTGTTTTCATCTTTAGACAGAAAACACAGAAAGTGGGGAAGAATGGAGGGGCTTCATTCTTACAGTAACAGAGGTAAGAAGGCCATTCAATTCTTCTGCTGAACCAGGTCTCAACAGCCCTCGGTGGCCTCAAACTTACGATCCTCTTGTCTCAGCCTCCCAGGTGATGAGATTACCATGGTGAGTCACCATTCCCAGCAGAAGATCATTACAGCCTGCTGATTTATTTTTTTTTTTTTTTTTTTTTTTTTTTTTTTGGTTTTTNTTTTTTTTTGGTTTTTCGAGACAGGGTTTCTCTGTGGTTTTGGAGCCTGTCCTGGAACTAGCTCTTGTAGACCAGGCTGGTCTCGAACTCACAGAGATCCGCCTGCCAGCCTGCTGATTTATTTGTTGGTCCAACAGTTTCTAACATCATTGCAACTATATACATTAAAGTGATTGAGGATATGAAAACTAGAAAAGGCCGATAGTAATCCATGCTGAAAGTTACATTTTTATTAAGTGGGTTGAGAAACTAAAGACACTCAGCAAACTCCCAAGCCCCTGTCATCGTGAGATAATGGTATTGGTGAGCAGGGGATGAGGGAGATCTACTTATGACATCTTTAATCTTTTTGGCTGTAAGCCTTAGGCTTTATGGCTAAGTCCTACCTCCTTATTGTTTTTTTAGCATGGAGGTTCTTTGTTTAGGCTGACGTTTGTAGTTTTTGTAGTTTATTATAAAAATAATCTCCATGATTTCTCTTCTAAATTTAGAAAATGCTATACTGCACTGGTTTTGTGAATGAAATAGACAACATGAAAGAGAGAAACCATCAAAATGAAAAATCATCTTTAAACACATGTTACATGTGTTTTAAAATAAAAGGAAGCTTTACCTGCTCAATGGCAGCATCTTATCAGAGGCAAATAGTAAGGCCCATTGCTCAGAGTGAGCCTATTGTAGCGGGATAAAGGACGGTTAGTTTGACTAAAGCCACAGCAGCAACTGTCTTCAAAGCATGAGACACTTTGGTCACAAGCGCCATATTAACTTAAGACACCATGCTCTTTAAAACTTTTCGAGGAAATGAAAAGTTTCAGGTTAGGCTCAAATGACCATCCTACCCACGTGAGTTCCGAACAAAGCCTTTGTGGTCATAAAATAGGCTGGACTCTTTACCAAGACATTGGTGATGATTCTTCGTATCAACCACCCTTTTACAGGAAAATAGGTGGAGCTTCAACTGCCAGAGAGTGTGTCCCTCTGAGGCCTTAAAAGAGATTTTTAAACATGAGATGGGCACATGCCTGGGGCTGGAGAAGAGACAGGAAAATTGTGTTTTCTTCCTCTTACAAAAAGGTCCCGAAGGTTGCCATTGGGTATCTGTAAGCACCCCAAGGGTACGTGACTAGGCATCCACCCTAACCCACTGGAAAAGTCTTGATATCTCTTCTTGACTCACTGATAATATTTGAAGTTTTGGTCATTTCCGTTATATTTTTCCTCTTTCAAAGATAGAAAGAAAGGTTTTTAAATCAAACATTGACATATTATGTAATATAAAATATATATCATGTGAATTTTTAAGTTAAGACACTTTGTCTTTTATTTTATACTCTGTAAATACTTGGGGCATAGTATCAAATCACTGTATGTGAATAAATCATTTGTAATAATATTCCACTGCACTGACTCTTCCTCCAAGAGAGCATAATGAAACACTAGACCGGGTATGAAAGCAATCCAGTAGGACAGATTTGGGTGTCTCAATCAAAATCGCACTTCCAGAAGAGAAAAACAACAAAACAAAAGCATGCTGGGAAGTAACAACATGCTAAAATATAAATGGACGCTATAAACAGACCACAGGGTAAAGCTGCTGCTCCTACACCCATCACAAACTCATGTTTGATAATAACGTATCATCTCCCTGGAGCTTCTGAGCCTCTTGGGCATTGCTAAGCGAATGAGTTCAGGATAAGAAATGAGAGATTAGTTAATACTTGACTCACAGAAAAGTATGTCTACTTTGTTTGCCCTGAGACCAAATCAAAACAGAAGACTTCAGCCAAGCATAGAGGTGGCGCAAACCTTTAATCCCAGCACCTGGGAAGCAGAGGTGGCTAGATCTCTGTAAGTTTGAGGCCAACCTGGTGTACAAAGTGAGTTCTAGGACAGCCAGGGCCACATAGAGAGACCCCGCCACAACAGAGAACAAAGAACAAACAACAAACAAAACTGAAGACTTCTTAGAAGAAGGCTGGACACTCCCTACAGGTTCTAGTCCATACAGGGCCAGTTCTAGGATGTCCGTGTTAGACTGAAATCTTCTATTTACTATTTTATCCATTCACCTCTGACAAGTAACTAAAATTCCTCAGGGCCAACAAGCTCATCTTTACTAAAGCAGTATGCTGCTTAGCTATGGTTGTTGTTTGCCTACTGTGCTAACTGGTTTCAGCTGTCCGTTCCTCAACACGTGTCACTTCTACCGGGACAAGTGATTAGACTACACGAAGTCTTAGAGAGAGAAAAGAAAAGAAGACTTGAGACAGAGCGGTTGCCAGTTATGCCTGCGGAGAAAGAGAAGGAGCCGGAGCAAGAAGATGTGGATGTACCGAACCCCATGCCAGCGTAAGTCCACAATTGACTGGTTCATTCATTTATTAAGACTAATTTCTAATTATCAGGTAGCGTTGCCCACTTGAACTTGTTACATGACAGGTAGTATCTTGGGGATATTTAGTCTCTGAGCATTGGCCACATTTCCTCTTCTATGTCAAGATCAGCATTGTGCACACTTGAACTAACCTTACCACAGAGGAAATCCCCTTCTACCCACATATCTAGACTAAATACATATCTTTCCGGAGCTCAAACCTAAATTAAAGTTTCTGTGAAGAAGGAAGGAAAAGATGTGTATTTGTGTCTCCATAATTGGATATTTCTCATCACTAATACCAAATCTTTTAAAAAAAAATCTTAGACTATTGAATTCAGTTGATTGATAAGTGAGCATTGAACTTGGCCTCTGAGGAAAACCTTGTATAAAGTGTTCAAAACAGTAATGGAACAGCATCTGGGCTCTGGAGCATCCTACATGTGTCTTTTGATTGTTGAAAATATTATGGGTCTTATCTTCTGGAGATCTTGGTGCTTTTGTCATTAAAGCATGTCCTGGCCCATCTCTGACATTAGGTTCTAATGTACAGTCTTCCTTACTAAAGCCACTGGAACCTGCTAATCAATATTGTTAGCTTAAACTAGATAAGTGACCAACTCACAGAATAAAAATAAGATGGACTGCTTTTTGTTTTTTTCCCCCAAGACAAGAAGACATGTGCTTAGTACAGAAGAATAAAGAGAAGAGTTAAACCAGTTCTTGTCACAATTGAAGATGTTTACTGCTAACATTTGGGTGTATCACGTAAAAAGTTGTACATGGCTACTATATTTCACTAAATATAGCATGTATTATAAAAACAACAAGTACCTAATTTCTTAATTTTGTGTCTAAAAATACTACTGGTGCCATTTTAACACAAATTATAAATCAAGAGTGGTGTTTTTAATCGGGGTCTCTGAGTTCAAGGACAGCTTGGTCTACAGAGTGAGTTTCAGGACAGCTGGGGCTATATGGTTATTCAGAAAAATTATTCCTCAAAAATACCAAACAAAGACACCACAAACAACAAATTATACTAATGTAGTCAGTTCAGATACAGTCTTAAGGTCAGTGGTTTAAAACAGAGCCCCACTAAGCTGTGGTGGTGTACACCTTTAATTCCAGCCCTGGGGGCGGGGAAGGCAGGTGGATCTTTGAGTTTAAGGCTAGCAGAGTCTATAAGGTGATTCAGACCATCCAGGGCTACAGATCGAGGCCCTATCTCAAAACAAATAAACAGATTAACAACACAAATAGATCTGTGAGTTCGAGGTCAGCCTGGTGTAGAAGAGCAAGTTCCAGGACAGGAACCAAAAAGCTACGGAGAAACCCTGTCTCGAAAATTAAAAAAAAAAAAAAAAAAGATCCACAAGGAGAGTCTTGGGATGTTCTGGAGTCCTGAAAGAAAGCACCAACAAATTAATCAAAGACCCTGTTGTGAACTGAGACTGGGGATATGCTGTTAGCTGTCACAGGTTTTCAATAGTAAACATGATTATACATGGATTGGTAGATTTCTTTTCATGTTCTTTTTGCTTAAAAGGTAACTCTGTATCTCTCGAGGTGTTTAGCATTATTTTCAAGTAATGATCTTCATTAGTTTTTCAAAAATCTGTCTTCCCTTTCATCTCACCTTCGCAGATGTTTTTATGCAGTTTCCCGGAAAGAAGCAACCGAGATGCTGGAGAAGAATCCTTCTTTGGGAAACATGATCCTGAGGCCTGGCAGTGACAGTAAAAACTACTCCATCACTATTCGACAGGAGATAGAGTACGTTCAGTTAATCTGGCTAGCATACTGTTAGGAGCATGGTATTCCGGTCAGTACCTGGTACGTGCTCTGCTAAGGCAGCAAACGTAAGCACAAGCCTGAGAAGTAGCGTGGCACAAGCAAATCTCGCTCGTTACAAGGAATGAAGAGAACAGATCTGGGATTGCTGCTGTTTTCATAGACAGTGTTCACAAAGGCACTCAGTTAATGTAAGCAGAGACTCGAAGGAAGTGGGGGACCAAACCATGCTAGTAGCTGGGGAAGACCGGTCCAGGCAGCCAGTGCACATGCCCAGAAGTAGAATACTTCTCTTGTTCAGGAAGCAGAAAGTGTCTGCATACTTTACACCTATAAGGCCTACTGAAGAGCCTCTTGCTAGTATATAAATATTTGTAAAATGATTTACCTTTGATAAAGCCAGTAATACTTAGATGTGCTTAGATGCAAGTGTCAGGGCAGAAGAACTAGCTCCGTCAGGAAAGGGCTTGCTTCGCAAATGTGAGACTCTGAATTCAGTCTCGAGAGAGAGAGAGAGAGAGAGAGAGAGAGAGAGAGAGAGAGAGAGAGAGAGAGAAAACTCCAAAAGAAGTACAAGTTAGAGCTGCCAGTGAATATGGCTTTTGACCTACACAGGCCTTTCTTTTTTCTGTTTTCTTCTTTTTAAGATTATAATATAATCACAACATTCCCAGTTTCCTTCTCTCTCTCCAAACCCTCCCATATACTCTTTTCTATTCTTCAACTTGAAGGCCTTTTTTTTTCACTGTTATTGCATGCATGTGTGTGTCTTCCGAAACACAACATATAAATACAACATAAATGTTCCTAATGGTTATTGCATGCATATGCACATAGATATTTCTTTATGTTACTTGCACGTATGTTTTCAAGGCTCATCGTTTGGCAGCGGACAACCAAATGATGTCCTCTTCCATACCCTTTGAGATGCCCATCGGTGTTGTTCCATTTTCAGCCCAAGTTTGGGCTGTCCTCGCCCCTGGAAAAGCACCAGCTCCCAGAGTAGGAGAAACAAAGCAGAAAATTCACCCCTGTGCTCAGGGTTTAATATCTTCTACTTAATATGTCACTTGATTCTTAGAGACAGCAATTGAGAGAGGATTAGAACTGGGTCTCGCCAAAGGAGAGCTTAATGTAAGTGGCAGGAACCCGGACTGTTGAGGAACACCTGTGTTTCTCACAAAACATTTTCTTTCAAAGAGGTTCCAGAAGTGCTCAGCCATGCAAGTTGATGAGTGAGTCCTGTAAACACGAGCTGGGTAGGACAAGCTGGTTTACAAAGCAGAACATGAAAAGTAACTTTCCCCCATGTGTTTACCAATTAGCCTTAGGAAGGAGGGCTCCTCTCAGGAGTAAACAGAGCTTGCCAGGGCCAAACCATCAGGTGATTCCTCTCAGAGCAGAGCCTCAGCTGTCTTTAGCCAGCTCCGTGGCACGAGAATTCAGAAGACATAAAGCTATTTTTACAACAAGCCTCAAACTTTGTTTTTCCCTTTGAAGTTGTTCCAACTAGGTGCCATTATAGTCAAGTAAGTCATTACTAGCTAAGGAGGAAGCAGAATATCTTTCCCCCAAATTCATCCTTTTGCAAAACTTGAGATCAAGAACTAAGAAAACATATTTAGAACCACATGTAAAGCAATGCTCTTCTTTAAAGACTGGCTTCTCTTTTTCTGTCTCATTTGGGTTCACTTGTAGTTCCTCTGACTCAGCCTTTTACGTGCTGGGATCACGGGTGTGTGCCGCCACCTCTCATTTTATATCATAACCAAAATGCTTCAAACAGTAAGTTTTATCCATTTTGCTTTTTCCTTTGCAAACCAAACCATAACAACAGTTGGAATAAAGGGAGAGACAAAGCCTGTGAGACTTCAGGGCCACTACTTCTCTGCATCACCTTTGACCTCAGAATCTATTCCCATTACTCCAAAGTCCCAAGAGCTTCTGCTGACCCCTGTCTGCTTTCATCTCTCAGCTTCCCCAAGAACTGATTATGTGATGGGATGGTTATTACCAACAATCATTGTCCCATTATATGATGCCCTTTGTGTACCTTGTGTTGAGTGCTACAGACATTTCCTACAGGCACAAAAGAATAACTGAGACACATAGCATTTCCCATGCTTTATAAACTAGAGTGGCAGAAAACAATAAATATTATCTACATATTAAACGTAGATAAAATAAGTATAATTTAGTGTGTCCTTAAATACGTCAAGGAGCGTACTAGGGATTTTGCGAGTTATTAGCCCACAAGAACCCTAAGAGGTAAAGCTTTATCATCTCCACTATGTAGGCTGAAAACACACACATGTGCACGCACGCGTACGCACACACACACATTCTGTCACAAATACACACTCACATACATACACACACACATACATACACACACCTACTCACACACATGATAAGGGACGTGTAGAGAGCACATATGACAGAAACAGAGTTTAAGCCAACTGTCCTGTCTTCCAAAGGGTAGCAGTCATTTTTTCTCAGGATACAGGAGTTCTAATTGAAATTGAAGAGAGTTTTCAACGGGAACTTTCTGGTTACAAAGATCTTTTCCTGATTGGGTTACGATAAAGTCAGAGCCAACCATCTTGAACAGGCACATGTAAGGTGCCCTCTCTCCAAAGACTTTCTCTGCCAGTCTGGAACTGATTCGTGACCTTTTATTGTTAAGAAACACTTCTTTTGAAGTGAGAAGCTTGGCTAAGGCTTATGTCATTTTGAAAGCAGCCCATTGAGATTAAAGATTTTCTTCCCGATGTGGTATCCAGGGGAACAGAGATTTGGATGTAATGGAAGATGAGGAGTGTCCCGTATAGGAAGGACACTCGTACAGTTTAGCCCTCGTGGAATATGAACTGGACGTGGGAAAGTTGTGGTTCCAAAAAGAAGGTGAAAAGACCCCATAGACAAGTTAAACTTATTTTCCTTGGCTTCTGAATATGAGGCAAATATTGAACTAGTTCAAATAAATGACACCATAATACATGCTGTTAATATGTCACCATTAGAAAATGTTTGGGCGAAACACAATTGCCATGTGAGCCAAATAAGTTCAAGACCAACATGCTTCTATGCAAAACTAACTGCCATGGACACTGACTTCTCAGCAGGGACTCTCAGCTCACAGCAGACAACAGTATGAGATGAGGCCCGGATATTGTTCGATCCGGCTTTATAAATGATGCGTTTATAATGCTGGAACACAGTGATGAGCACAATGGGATTTTTTGCTCCAAAGCAGTTCATAACAAACTCTTACCATTTGGGGTGGTAACAATTCAGGGTGATATTTTTAAAGGGGAAGACCTGAAGATACTTCTGCTGTATTTACATTCCCAACCACCTATTATTTAGCAGCCGACATTTTCCCCATCATTATGAGATCCACAAAGTTAGCAGCAATGGAGGACAGCATTTGAGCTCGCACAGGGATAGCTGGTGGGGGCTACTTGGTGGGATGGGATTGGTGATGAGGTGGAGTACAAGGCTATTTGCTTTCAATAATTCTTTTTACTTTCCTTTTAGTAGAATGGATACATTATTTAACTTATATATGACCACAAAAGATCTTTTTACTCCTTTGGGTTTTGGTTTATTTTATTTTTTATTTTTAGGGAGTGGATATTACACATGTTAGGCAAGTGCTGAATCTGGGCTACATCTCTACCCTGGCTACATCCCTACCCTGGGCTACACCCCTACCCTGGGCTACATCCCTACCCTTTCATAAGATTTTATAGGTTACGGACTGAGAAAGTTTTAGTTTTTATTTTCACCTATTCTTTTCTCATTTACCAATGTAGTGGCTCAGCTTTTTTACACCTCCTCATGTATTACCATTTGTCTCAAAGATGAAGTAATCCCAAAGAAGAAACAGGATGCTCTAGCCTAAGCCATAGCTGTAGATGTACAGGTTTACTACACAGAGCACATTCTCCATTCATTAAGCTTGCATTGACTCAACTGTATAACCAAAAGAAGGCCAACCTTGTGCTTCATTTTAGAATGCCAAGAATCAAACACTACAAAGTGATGAGCGCTGGAAAGAACTACACCATCGACCTGGAGAAACCCGTATGTAGCCATCTCTTTGTTGCTGATAAACTTTCTCCTGTTGCCTTCCAAACCTACCTTAGAGACTGCAGAGGGAAGTGGGAACGCAGAAGTCTTCCTCAGGAACAGACACGGTGGTGGTAGAAGGGAGATGGGTACCTCTAGGTAAGACAGAAAGGGTGGGTGCCTCGCCAGCTCAGGCAGCTGAGATGGACTCGAAGAGAGCCTGCTTCTACAAGCGCTTTTTCCTCCACTCTCTCTGCAAATGATTACTCAATATAACTGCTTCAGGGAAAGAAAAGCGTTTTATGAAGGGTCAGTATAATATCCTCTATTTACTAATACTCAAATGAGCCTATATCTGAAGGGAAGCAATCTCAGTGCCCTGTTTTCTAATACCTACCACACAGAAGTCCAACAATGCCCTCTTAACAGCAGTGTACTGGGAGGACCGGTTTCTTCTTTGTCTTCATCTCCTTTTCAAGCTTAGTTATTATATTATGGAGCTAACGACAGGCCGTCTTCTCTCTCCCCCAGCACAATGTCTGGTGCACAGCCAAGTAACTTACACATGCAATTTAATCTTTTCTATCTCCATGAGATATAGTATGCCTATTATACAGGGAGTAAACTGACATTTAAACTAGTCTCAGCCAATGAAAATGTGGTGATGTGGCCTGAGGTTCTTTAAAATTAGCTCCTGGTTTCTCTAGGTGCATTGTATAGTAATGTATAGGTAGAATTCCTCACGTTTTGACTGTAAGGCTCACAGAGACACTGTTGTACAGCTCACTTTAGTAAAGATTGGCTCCAGAACTTCTCAGGTCCACGTCTATGGATCCAACTATGTATCTCAGTCCATCGTAAACTCAAGGTCTTCTGTTCCCCAAGTGCTGGGATGACTGGTGTGCACCAACCAGGCCTGGCTCCAACTGAGCTTTTTAAGCAGCGTTCTAACAAATGAGGCAGAAGTCTAGGAGGGGGCATCCATAAAACCATGTAACCAAAAGGGGTTCCAGTAAGGACCAATGTAACTAGTGCACCTTTGTAAGTGGAGACCTGCACTTCTTGTGGTTAGCCTCTACAGTCCACAGGAGAAGGAAAACAAACAGTCTGGATAGTTCCTTCACCTTTCAAACTCCTCTGTTACCCTGCCCTTCAACCAGGTTGCATTTTTTTTATTTTAATTTTAATTTTTTGTTTTTTCAAGACAGGGTTTCTCTGTAGCTTTGGAGCCTGTCCTGGAACTAGCTCTTGTAGACCAGGCTGCCCTCGAACTCACAAAGATCCGCCTGCCTCTGCCTCACAAATGCTGGGATTAAAGGCGTGCGCCACCACCGCCTGGCTTCCAGGTTGCATTTTAATGACTTATTTTACTTCAAGATTATTTGGGATATTCAGGTTTAACCAGATTTCACTTGTATAAAAGTACTGAGTTATAGGGTAGAGAGATTTTAGTGACACACAGACCCTTGTTACAATGAAGGATTAAAATGCTTAAAACTTCACTGGGGTTTCTAGTAGAGAAATCCTATTGTGCCCAACTTAAGAAAATATAATATCAGTCTATAAAAGGTTCTTCTTGTAACCATTTTAGAGGCTAGCAATTTTTAGGGACTAGGAGACATTTGGTTATGGAGTGGCCATATTTTTTCTTGTTTGCCTATTGAAATTCCAGTATTAGGAAGGAATTAAATTGGCCTAAAATGAGTCATTTTTCTATTTTAATTGTGAGAAGGCAAAGTACTTAAATGTTGTACACCAGACTGTACCCAATACTAAGAGTATTTCCTTACTAAAGAATGACCGCACAGTCCTTAAAAGGGATTAAACAGACATGGCTAAGAGAATCATTGCTGTTCAACAAGTCATTGAAGTTTGATGTCTACCCCATCTGACTGTCTGGAGGTCAGGACATACACAACAATCCCCACTAGAGTGCAGGGGAGCATCTCTTGTTTCTCTTTAGCTGAGCACTGAGCCATCTCTCCCTTTCTTTCCCACAGGTAACACTCCCAAACCTTTTCAGCGTCATTGACTATTTTGTGAAAGAGACGCGAGGGAATCTGAGACCATTCATACATTCAACCGATGACAACCTCGGTATGGTTTTCACTTTACAGCTGCATCGAATAAAAAAACAAAACCCAAAGCACACCACAGGACAAACTAAAAATTTAAAACGTAAAGCTCTCCATTTGGCAATCATCTTTGTCAGAATCTGGAGGGGCAGGGGGATCTCCTTCCAGACAGTCTATGAGGCATGCATTGTGATTATTAGCCTCATTCCATCATTCTATCCTTCTTTATCAAACAAGTTCAGGGACAATAGGAGAAAACAAAACAATACAAACTCCTGGGTAGCAAACAGGAAATATAAAGGATGGGCCCACAATAGTGTCAGATGCTTGGGCTTGGGTAGAATGCATGAGAGTAAGCAATGGCTGTGGGGATTGGCCATTTGGTAGTAAATGACCTACCAGAGTGCTATTCTATTACAAAAGTAAAGAAGTCAGATGGCAAGGACCTAGGAGTGAGCAGATGGTGAGGAACTACTGTCACAAGTTATAGCTGGGGCCAGCTTCAAAATTGGTGGGCTTCTTTTTCATACAGGAAGAACTTTAAAACAGTGGTAGGTAGCCGTCCACTAAGCTGAGCAATGAGACCTGCGTCAACAGTACAGTTCACACGCTCATTACATTGGCTCCATCTGCGTTCTCGTTTTCACCATAGAGAGGCAAGCTAGACTCGCTCATCTTCCCCGGTCCTATCCAACAATCTACATGTAGTCACTGGGCAAGCTCTGAGCAGAAGAGGCTAAGAATCTCCAGCTAGTTTGGGGTTCATTCAAAAATAGTTTCTTTTCCTAGATGTTATAAAGAAAAACTTTGTCTATCAAGGGCATATCTGCAAAGTCTCATGACCAAAAACAACAGTAGGTCTAAAAGTCTAAGTTCTTAAAATATCACTATCTTTGGATGCTACCTAAAATACAAAAAGTACAAGAGCTCAGAGTCTGCAGGAATCTTAGGTAAATGACCAAGTGTGATCTTCATCTGTGTGGTCCTCTGTAGACTTAGCAGAGGAAGTGTCTCTAAGATGTGGTCACACAGTTTGCTTGACAAGGCCTGTTATGGTATTCATGACTTTTGAAGCAACACGGTTCACTGGATTCTTGTTCTAAAAAATTCTTTCCCGAATCTGAAACATTGTTTCATCTTCTGCTATGTGAATCTAATTGCAGGCTTTGAAATACCATTAAAATAACCATGGCATTTCCCCTTAGTGTTTCAACCTGGTTCCTGCAGCCCCCTCTCCTCTCATCCCTAACTTTCTCTCTGTGTTGTCTAGCTTCGGAAAACTTCTCATCACCCATGATCCTAAACATGGACACATAACATAGTCAACATAATACATTGCTTGGTATGTATGCGGAAAAACACACCTACTAGAGTTCTGTGCGAGAATGACTTCTTAAAACAACATCTCTCCAAACCCTAGGGATTTCTTAATAAAATTTGGAGTATGTAGAAAATCCATTGTAACGTTCCTCCTCCCTGGATATTTATTCTGTCAGTTAATTATTCATCCCTGTATAACAATCTGCCTCCGCAATGGCTAGATCAATAACTATTTCATTGGTTCATTGTTCTACAGATCAGATAATTTGATTGAATTTCATTGGGCAGTTTTTCTAGTCTTTGTCACTCACATAGGCTCCAGCTTAGTAGGAAATTGAAACTGACCTTGTCGTCCCCTGCTAAGTGAATTTATTTCTAATATTCTGCCTTCTAAGTTTCAATATGGCTTTAATTCCATCTTAGATGCAGAGGCCTTATGCTCAGGCTGGGGAGGACCCTGCATGTGATCTCTGATGCTCCCCGTACAAGTTAAAAACAAATGTAGCCACTTTACAGTACATGGCATAGCTCCATTCGCTTCCTTTCTTATTGATCTCTCTCTCTCTCTCTCTCTCTCTCTCTCTCTCTCTCTCTCTCTCTCTCTCTGTTTTCTGTAGAATTTCCAACTTACTTTTTTTTTTCTTTTGGTTTTTCGAGACATAGTTTTTCTGTTTAACAGCCCTGGAACTCACTTCAGAGACCAGACTCGCCTGCATCTGTCTCCCGAGTACTAGGATTAACAGCATGCATCACCATGCCCAGATCAATTTTCTGACTTTCTACCAATTAATCTTAGGTTCCATTTGGGCAATTTGAAAATTATTGTCAGGAGTCTTTGAGTCCTTCTGAAGTCTCTGCAGCAGCACTTACTTGCTTTAAGTAGGCAATTATTGTGGCTAGGGTGAAGCAGCTGTCTCAACTGCTGTGGGAAGAAGCTCCAAGTCAGTTACCTTAGCTATGCTGCTTTAGGTTTGTACATCTCAAGATGTTGTCCTAGGGCGATGGTCCATACTGCAGCTTAGAGCTCAGAGCCTTCGACACACCACATAGTCAGCTACCATGCATTAGCTAAGGGAGGTTTAGTTTGTTTCCTAACTAACCAAAGCAACAACAGCATGGCTAAGCAAGTATCTGGGGAACAGGATTCATTCTCTCACATGTGGAGATCCTGTTTCCCAGCGCCATTTATTGAAGACGCTGTCTTTTCTCCTGAGTTTTCGGCATTGTTGTCAAGTATCGATCAGATGGCTATGGTTAAGCACACTCATGTCTGGGTCGTCTGCTTTGGTCCATTAGTCTGCACATTTTTGTGCCACTACCATGCTTTTATTAGCATAGCCGTGCAATAGCCTGGAGTGAAGAGCTGCAGGTGATCAAGGACCATAGAGAGAGGGAGAATCAGCGTCCTCCATGGAGAAGCCTTCACATACGTTGTCCAGTCCTAAGTGTTCAGTCCTGGACACATGTACATGCTAGCAAAGGTAAATGAACTCAATAAGTCATATCAGTATACACATATATACATATTCATATCCATGTAACAATATTAAAGAAAAAATCTTGGGAGAGGCACACAGGAATTGGAGAGACCCCCCCCCACAAAAAACACCCACTAAAATATAAAAATAATTTTCCCATGTAGAAAAACATATCTAAAACTTGGCCTCCTATTTTAACTGATACAATGCAAAGTCAAAAGTATATTTCTGACTTTGCTACTTACATTTAGCTGTATTTTTTTATTCCAACATCACTTGAATCTTTATAAAATAAAAATTTCTGTCTAGAACAACCAAACCTACCTCTTGGATCTTTGTACAAGAGGAGCTCTTGGTAAGCATGAAATCTGTGCACGGCCGACACAACACTAGGTGGCGCTCTCTCCCAGTTCTTACCTCTAGGATGTCTCTAACTGTCCTAAGGATCACTGCTCTGTCTAGGTAAAAGAAGTGGCCTGAGAGCTTAGGCAGGTCTGTCCTGCTGTTCTGTGAGCTGGGGGCTGTGTCTCTTCAAACAAGTTAGAGAAAACAAACAAACAAACAAAAACAAAACAAAACAAACAAACAAACAAAAAAAGCAAATCCCACTCCCTCAGTTCTCAGTTTTTTGGATTCTATGGACAGAAAGGATTTTCCTTGGGGTGTTAGGACCAGGGAAAAAGAAAACAGACAATAAAAAAAAAATCGAAAATGGACTGCTGACTTAAATTACATCAAATGATTTTGAAAAACAGACAACCAGCCTATTATCGCTATGTGATTGAACTGGTTTGGTTTGCTTTGTGATCAAGAGTATTACTCAACCCCCTTGCATCTGGTTCCTTTGTTATCAGAGTTATTAACTAATAGGGAGAACAAGTGAATTACAGATGCCCAGGCAGCCTTTTCAAACCAGAAAAGCTTCTGGAGTGGACCATATTTAGATTTTCAAAAGCAAAAAGAGAAGGAAAATAGGACTTCCTGAGAAAAACCATGGCCAACCCCTCAAAAGCTGCATTTTAAGAACACTTTGTGGAATCTGGTGATCGTTTCTGGGACACAGACTTGCTTGTTGAGGCACGGTGTGAATGCTAGAACACTTAGTCTAATGTCTAACCTTGAGTCTAGCCACACTTAGCGGTTCAGGGATCTGGAGCTGTGGAACTGGCCAGTGTGTTTACGTAGCATACTAATGAAAAGAACCTGGGATTGTCTTTGAGCCTTGCTACACAGTGTTAGTGTCCAGCTTTCTCTCCGATACCAAGAGGCAAGAGGAGCAATAGAAATAGAATAGTCAAGAGATATTCTCTCAATTTATTCTTCCCAATGCCAGAAATTACCACCTTAAAAGTCATTTCAAAATACAGCATGTAAAGGTATACAGAACATTAAGCTTGAGTATAATAAAATACGTGATATTTGCGGTCCAGGGTACAAAAATATTAAAAGAAATCTGGATATTCTGCATCTAATTATGTAAAACTTAATAACACCTGCAGTGTTTGGGGAACAAGCAAGAAAAACAACTCCTACTGTGAGTAGAGAAAAACTTGGTCCTACAGAATCGCTTCATTACCTAATCAATACTTTCCACCCATAATTTCCAGGTCAAGAGCCCAACACAGAAAAGTGAGAAGCTGAAGAAAAATCCACACAAGGCCTGAAATAACGCGAAAACTGCTTCCATAGGTCTTAGTATTTATTGTTTTCAAAAGGAAGACTTTCACTTTTAAAGACAATTATCTCTGACCCTAAATCACTTGTTTGGGAACAAGAATAAAATAATGTAGCATGTAATTCCATTGTTTTATCAGTAGGAAATCAATTTACTGGTTACCACCAGCTGTCTGTAGAGTAACCTGACACATACATTTCTCTGTACTAAGCGGGGAAAAATTACTTTTTAAACAAAAACAGGTTTTTGTTCCTCCATGGCGTCATTTAAATACATTTCACATATACAATTTGCATTGCAGATTATCTAGTTCCCCTAAATCCTACATTATCTTCTAAACTCTAACTAGGTTTTTGGTAAAGTCTGATTGAACAAATGAATCAAATGTAAGTCATTTAAATGATCTGGTTGGCGGCCACAGACAAGAAATGAACTAGGAAATGTCCACCTGGTAGGAATGCCATATGCTGTATATTATGTTCATGGAACTAACTGCAATTCATTTTTATGTTTTTCCTTGAAGCTCTCATTCTACTAGTTCAAAACTAAGCCATATATCATTAAAGGATGATAAAATAAACACCACTTTCAAACGTGCATGTTGTGTGATGTCTTACTCTTTTTGACTTTTTGGGGTGCCCACCAACCAGCTCCCAAATAACACAAGAAGGCTTATTTTTAGTTATGAATGCCCAGCCTTAGCTTGACTTGTTTCTTGCCAGCTTCTCTTAAATTATCCCAACTATCTTTTGCCTCTGGGCTTTTATCTTTCTCCATTTCTGCATATTTTCTTTCCTTCTTACTCAGTGACTGTGTGGCTGGCTCCTGACCTCCTCACCTAGTTTTCTTGTTCCTCTACCTCTCTCCCCCCAGAGTTCTTCTTCTGTTTACACTCTCTGTCTGCCAGTCCCACCTATGCTTGCTCCTGCCTCGCTACTGGCCGCTCATCTCTTTATTAGAACCGTCAGGTGTTTTAGACAGGCACAGTGACAGCTTCCCAGAGTTAAACAAATGCAGTGTAAATGTCCCACACCTGAAAATAATATTCCCCAACACATGTAGACGGTGATTCATTTCTTCAAAAATACAGATCCAAAATCCAGATTAGATCTCTTGAATACAATCTCAGTCACACTTTTTTCCTTTGAAAACAAGTTCTTAAATTGATTTTTTTTCCTTTTCCTCCCTCCCTCCCTCCCTTCCTTTTTCTTATTATATTTTGTATATATTGTATTGTTTTTGTCTCCGTGTGTCTGTGTAAGGTTACAGACAGTTGTGAGCTGCCATGCTGGGAATTGAACTTGTGTTCTCTGGAAGAGCAGTGCATGCTCTTGTTATGTAGTGTGTTTTACTCTCTTGGCTTTTTTGGGAGCCCACCACCCAGCTCCCAAATAAATCACACACAGAGGCTTATTCTTAGTTATGAATGCCCAGCTTTAGCTTGGCTTCTTTCTTGCCAGCTTTTCTTAAATTATCCCGACTACCTTTTGCCTCTGGGCTTTTTCTTTCTATTTCTGTAATCTTACTTTCACTCTTACTCTATGGCTGGATGGGTAGCTGGGTGAGTGACTGACCCCTAGCATTGTTCTCTGTTGCAGCTTCTCCTCTTCTTTGTTTTTATTTATTCTGTCTGCCAGCCTCGCCTATCCTTGCTCAAGCCTCCCTCTTGGCCAGCCAGCTCTTTTTTTTTTTTAATTATTTCTTTATTTATTATGCATACAATATTCTGTCTGTGTGTATGTCTGCAGGCCAGAAGAGGGCACCAGACCTCATTACAGATGGTTGTGAGCCACCATGTGGTTGCTGGGAATTGAACTCAGGATCTTTGGAAGAGCAGGCAATGCTCTTAACCACTGAGCCATCTCTCCAGCCCCCAGCCAGCTCTTTATTGGGTGTTTTAGACAGGCAATCACAGCTTCACAGAGTTAAACAAGTGCAGCATAAACAAAAATCACACACCTGAAAATAATATTCCTCAACGCTCCTGAGCCATCTCTCCAGCTCAGAATACTTTCAACGTGTTAACGGTATGAAAAAGATAAAAGAAAGTTATATAGGTGTATAAAAATACAAGCATTGACTATTGTCTTATAGAATTCAGACACTGTAGTATACAACTGAACTAAAATATACAAAAGAATTGTGTGATGAAATATAGGTGGGAGGAACACAGTTGATACCTGTATAAAGAAGTCTAAAACTTACAACTGTATGTTCATGAATCTGGCAAGTCAACACAGGAAAGAATGACTAGTCCCTGGCCCATAAAGTCTAGGCCTCCAATCATTTAAAAAGTTTGTTTACTCACATCTGATACCTGAGGCTGTTGATAACCTCAATTCTTCACATGAGTTATTTGGTTTGGGAATATTGCTGTTTGGAAATATGTAGTCTTAATCACTAAGGTAGTGACTCACATTAGTTTTATTTTGTGCAAATGGACAGAATTTAATATAGTAAAAAAAAACTTTAGTCAAGAGAAAACAGTGCTTATCCTTTAAGAAAACAGAAACTATAATTTATTTTAATAAAAAATTAACATACAACCAGTAAACAGATTTAGGGAAGAATGGAGATGTCCACATAAAACCCAACTGTAAAAAGGAAGGTATAAACATTATAGAAGCTGGGGAGATCCGCTCTGTAGGACGGCAGAGAAAAGCTCCAGCCTGTCAAACAGTGACAGCTGCTGGAAGAGCAACTGCCGGACAAGATGATCAACACCTCCTGACCACCAAATCCAAACAATTGTGGTACATACTAGGCAAATACCTAAAAATTAGAATATATATAGGGTCAAAGGAAATGGATGGAAAAATTAAGATGGTTAGAGATAAGACTTTAAGGCACAAAGATAGCTCACATTGATAAAATACCATTCAGCAGGAAAATATAACAAGCCAAATTTACAGTCCTACTCACTGATTGCTGTGAAGAGACACCATGACCGAAGCAACTTTATGAAAGGAAGCATTTTATTGGGGCCTTGCTTACAGTTTCGGTAGTCTACTATTCTCATTGGGTGGGAGCACGGGGGCAGGCACAGCCCTGGAGAAGTAGTTAAGAGCTACCTCCCGATCTGAAGGTGTTTGCATGTGTGTGTGTGCACGTGCACACACACACACACACACACACACACACACACACACACACAGACATGGGCTGGCACAGGATCTGAAACTCCAAAGCCCATCTCCAGAGTGACAATTCCTCCAAGGTCACAACTCACAATCCTTCTAATCCTTTCAAATTCAAGTTCCACTCCCTAGTGAATAAATATTCAAATATATAAACCTATGGGGGCCATTCTTACTCAAACCACCACACATGAACTTACTAATGTTGCCTCACGATATATAAAACAGAAACACAACACTGGGAGAAAAAAAGCAAATAAATGGGTGACTTTTAGTATAACTCATAATTCACATTATAGTTTATTAAAAACACATTAAGGATATAGAAACTTTAATATTAAAAAAATTTGATGACTCTGATATGTACAGCACACAGCCCCTAATGACTACAGAATGTACTAGTTCCAAATTCATAAAAATTATATACTGGGCCACAAAGTAAGTCTCAAATAAATTTAAGTATTAAAAAAATCTTTTAAATTTTCATTAGGATTTTTTTTTATGTTAAAGGGAATGAAACTCTATTTTACTCATGGGTATGGACATTGGAAGACCAAATGTACAGTACTGAAAATTGTGTAGGACTTCTTCCTGGGTCTCAATCTGGCCTGGGCCTCCAGTGTGAGCCAGAAAAATCATTTTTAGTCAGGTCACGTCCACCTTTGTGGTTACTGGTACTATGGCTTCAAAGCTTCAGCTAAAAATAACAGCACAGAAACTTGGGACTCTGTTCCAGACATGAGCTCTTTGGTGGCCCACTGGAAATGAGCCAAATGTGGGTTAGGGTGGCACAACTCAATGATCCTTGCTCGTTAGGACTTTTTTAAACTTGAGTTTTAAAATCATCAATATTTTCCAAACATATGGCTTTTGCAGTAAATCTTTATATTTTGCGTTTTAATTCATCTAGATCTTGGTTAAGAAAAAGAAATCTGATTTTTAGGACCAGTCAAGAGGTGAGGACCCTGGTAACTTCAAACCACATTTGGAACTTGGAAGAGATGAACTTTAAGGGTAAGGGCAGACAAGCAATAAGAGAATAGTAGTCAAAAGTTCTACCTTAAATCACACTAGTATGGCTAAGAAATCTGAGGGCCCGAAATTCCATCAAGGTGATTTTAGTTACAAGTCTCCAGGCAGAAGCAAAAACATGTCTTAATAGGAAAATATTATCCTATTAAGTAATTTCACAATTTCAAGTAAAATACTGGCAAGCATTAAAAGGATACTGGGTACAGAGAAAGAACAGAAGAAACAAAAGTCAGGTAACAGACAGAGGAAGGCTTTAGATTCTTTAATTAGGCAGACTACATGGTCTGGGTTGGAGCCATGGCTCAGGGGTAAGGGTACTTGCTGTTCTTGGGGAGGACAGGATCTCACTCTTGGGCAACTCACAAACGTTCTAACTCCAGATCTAGGGGATCTGCTGCCTCCTGGCCTCTACAGGCACCTGCATACACATGGACTGCACACATGTGTACATGGTATACATAAACACAAGGTGCACATATACGTGGAAACACACCACACATAAATGAGAGATTAACAGTTTTTGAGGGGAAGAAAAGTGAAAAGTGCCAGAGTGACCAGTTTGTAAGTTTATGAAGAAATCTGAGAAAAGAAAAATCAAAGGGCTAAGAATAACCAAGACATTTTAACAGAAAAAGTTGGAAGGATGAATTTTGTCAAATATAAACATATCAGCTACAGTGATGGAGACAGTATATTACCATCAGGACAGAAAAGGAAAGAAACGAAGGTTCAATAGGATACATACACATCTTCTAGTGCAATGCTACCTTGGCAGAACCAGGGAAAAAAGGAAAACAAACTTTACCTAAATACTAGTGATCTAGTATTAGCCATGATGTTCAGAATCAGCTCCTCATGAATTACAACTTAATCCTGAGAGGCAAAACTAAAGTGCTTAGGAGACAAGAGGGGGATCTTAGAAGACCTCCCAGGCTGTCAACGAGGTATTGTGAAACGAAAGTCTAGTCCTGTTAGGTATCTAACCTTTAGCTACAGAACAGAAGATATTTAGAACTATACAGACAATAAAAACAGGGTTTATACAGATCTTTCATGTACCAATGAGGAAAAGCGCTGCCAACACAAAAGGAAGATATGTAGCAGATCTGACAACACACTTTTAAAAAGGAAGTGGAAATGGCAACGTGAAAAAGGTAACCCCCATAATAAGAGAACAGAGGAACCAGTCAATGAAATACCATTGCATATCTACCATTGTCAAAATACAAAAACAAAACCCATCCGAACTGACCCCAGTGTAGAGAAAGCGAGTGTTAGAGCAAGGGGATGGTGCATGGGAAGGGTTGGAAGGATGAAATGGAAGGGGAAAATGATGCAATTAGGTTTTACTTTCAAAACTAAAATATTAAAAAGTATCTACAATCAAGCAAGTTTGATCCTAGCCATCTTATTTGCACTGGAAGAGAAACAAAATACATTTATTATAGAACTGTACTTATCCTGAACTAAATACATCTTTATCATTCACAGTCAATACAACATAAACTGGTATATTAATGCAAAGGTAAACTATACATCAATGGTAAATACGGCTACAATGAGCATGGACAAGCCACAGCAAATGAAAGACATAGAAAAACGCAACGATTCTTTACATACAGCTCAGAAGCAGGCAGAACTACACTGCTCTGTCTAGATATACACACAGAGGGAGTAATACCACAAGAACAAGGAAACAGCTAAAAATAGGATGATAGTAACTACCAGGGGTTTAAGATATCTGTGACTGGGAAGGGATTAGGAAGGTTTCTGATATCAGTGATCTATTAATTTCAATATTGGTTAGATTAAATATTTTAAAATTATTCTTTAAACTGCATATTCACACTATATACTTTCAACAGGCATTTCTCAATTATGGCAAGAAGCTTTTGCAGATGGAGTAATGGCTCAGTGATTAAGATAACTGGCTGCCCTTCCAGTGAACGTGGCGGGTCACAACTGTCTTAACTCGTCTCAGGGGATCCATGCCCTTTC